GTCTCCATAATCAGAATCAGTCTGTTCTTCAGTCTGTATATCTCCATATCAACGACACCCGAGTCCTTGAGACTCTTGATCATCTCCGGCCACACGTTTCTGTGATATCTGTCATACTCTTCGATGACTTTTGGATCATCTTTGAGGTCAAGCCCTAAACAAATTCTCTTCATATTTGCACCAAAACTAGGCGTTAAGAAAATAATTGTAAAAATGTTTTTGTATAAAAAAGATATTGGAGAAGTTATCAAAAATTATTGATAATAGTGTAAAATTGTGCAAAAAAGTACATAAACATAATGTCTCATGGTCATTTGAAAAATAAATTGAAAATTGAGTAATTTATTGAATAATGTTATAACCTAAAATACTGTACGCTGAGAGTACTGTACTAAACTTATAGTATTTTTGGACTGGCTTTCCAATTATTAAACGGTATAGGGTACTATTATATTTCCTATTTAATTCAGAATTATGATTCTAAACGTGTTATTAATTCATTCAATATTTGTTCACAAAGAATTTGTTTGAATTAAATCAATTTACTATACATTACAATACTGTTATTATTTTAGACTCAACTCTCAGCTAAGAGTTTACATTTACAGTAATGCTTCAGAATTTAAATTACAATTTTAATGTAACATACAGTACATTGAATTATTGATATTTTAATTACATTTGGTTTTATAACAAATAAAACTAATAAAAAGGTGTTATAGTTTGAAAACTTTGTCCATAAGCATCCACTTTTCACCTTGCTTAGCGAATGGCAAAGACTTCTGGAATGTCCACATAAGTTGTTCCCATTCCTGAACTTTGGGATTATTGGCGTCCATTTGGGCCTTCCTTTCAAACGAGAAGTCGTCCTCTGTTTCCATAATCATAAACATCCTGTCCTTCATAAAGTTATCAAAAAATGATTGATAATTATGAAGAAGTGTTACGAAAGAGTGTGTATTATCTCATAATATCTCATATGAAAACTGAATTCAATATTCAGTAATGCATTGAAAGCGCAGTCGTATTGAGTGTTGCATTGAATGCAAACACTTGTCATAAAGTAATCAAAACATCGATTCATTTGTTTTGATAGCAATTGAAGGCAAGAATCGCCTCTTTTTTGGTGATAAACCAAACCATTAGTGATCCCATCGTCTCTCACTTGTGGCACAAAATGTCCAAATCATTTGAGGACCAACTCTTGCGTATGTCTTAAGACAATCACATTGTTTAGCAAATTGGTGTGAATTTTGTTGATATATCTGATTGTCTTCCTCTTCAGGCGAAGTCAATGAGAATGTATTGAAACGTTTCGGTCGTTTCGTGGATCACTTCAACCGCGAGTTGTCTTCAATGCATAACTTGAATGTCTCGCAAATCAAGTCATCGATTGAAGTGCCCTTTGATTGGCCGCCCATTGACTGCATGGACGTGAAGGAGAGGACAGACCTCTTCGAGTTGGTCCAGACGTGCGGTAATATGCAGTTGAATAAAGTGGTGCTCGTCTTCGCACAACTCACTCAAGAGATGCATATTGGCCGCCCATTGACTGCATGGACGTGAAGGAGAGGACAGACCTCTTCGAGTTGGTCCAGACGTGCGGTAATATGCAGTTGAATAAAGTGGTGCTCGTCTTCGCACAACTCACTCAAGAGATGCAATACATGTGTCAATCGGGTGCCCAACGATTCTGCGACCCTCTGGTCCTCTACGGCGAGCCCATCGGCGACCCCAACGCCGAAGACTTGTCATCGATCGCCAAATTCCTGCCACTCCTTCACGACTTGTCCTCTTATGTGAGCTATTGTTTGAAAGTTGTATCAAATGTTGTCCAACAGATGAACGCTTTGATACATATATCTAATATACCGGTGAAGAAGGGCTCACAAAACAATTATAAAGAACTCATTCCAGACTTCGGCGCAAACATTAGGTTTGATGCCGTGTTTGAGGGGATGTCCGACTTAGCGGTCACTCTAATCAATTTGGACGAAATTATCGCAAATCAAATGAATCTCAAACGAGATTTTGTTAATTATAAGCGAATCATTGAATTAGTTTCGGCCAATTCGGCCAAATTCGATGTCGGCAATGAGACAATCAAAGTGAAGATTTTGTTCAAACTTATAGATAGGATAGAGAAACAGCTCATCGATGGTGAGGGTATCTTCAAGGCCTATATCGATGCCATGAGTAATGAGGGAAGTGTTGCCAAAAATACCCAAATGGCCGAACAGTTTGCGAATTATATCCGAGTTTCGTGTTCTGAGTTAGAAATGTCACCCGAATTGGTCTCTGACACTAAGTTTCTGTCGATTTGTGCTCTTTTTGTGATCTATATCTGGATTTTTAAGAGAGAAGACAAACGATTGTATAAAACAGTGACCGATTGTCAGAGAAAAATCTGTGTCTATTTGTGTCACTTAAAGGGCAACTGTTCTGTAATTCCAGATAAATTTCTGGCTAATAATTTACCAAGGTCCATGTTTGATAAGAAACTAATGGACAGCTTTAGTGCTTCGCGTGAACTCATTTTGAAGCAAAACTTTGACAAAGAAGTGAAACAATTGAACCTCAAAGTGACCAATTGGTTGGTGCGCTTTGAACAGGACATCAGTGACACCACTGATCTCAATACTAATCTCATCGATATATTAGCAAAACAACAGAAAGTGATAGAAGAAGGTCTGGAAAATGCCAAAATGATAACCACTCTCATCAAGGACTGCATTGCACTGCATCTGCAAAGCGGGCGTCCGATGGCTAAACATGACTTACTGGCCATTTGTAAAGCTATTTGTATCCTTAAAGGCATTCAATTGGCATTCCATCACAAGAAAGGTGTTTTGATTCCCATTATCGGCCATTTGGCTCAATATAACTGCTGTGTTGTCCTCAAAATGTTGAGTAACACTAAAACCAAAATCATAGCCGACGTGAAGAAATATTCGGAGAAAAAGTTGGATCTCCTGTCGGCTGTGATTCTGGCCTCCAATTGTCTAAACGGTCCGATTCTCACGAATCCGCGAAGAATATTGACGTCTATTTGTTTGTCTATTATCTCAACGGCGCTGAGCGCTGAAGATATCGCCAAACTATTGATGTTAACGAGAAAACTAGAATTATTCACAAAAATTCACGCATTGGTCGACATTCGCACGAATTGTGAGTTTCTATACTTTAATCGCGCGGTTCTCGGCATTTATTTCAACAACTTCTTCGAGAGTGAGTCGAGTAATGTTCATGAGTTGAGACACTTCTTCAGCGCTTTGTCCGATTCGTTCACTTTTATTAATAAATGCAAAGACGACGAGAAGAGAGAGCTTTTGACCAAACAGTTTGAAACGGAAACGTATGAACAGTTCAAAAGTGACTTTTTAGACAGAATTTGTACGGAATTTGAAACTGAATTAAGACTTCAAGTCCACTCAGATCTACAACTTGACGATCAAAGTCCGTTCAAAAGACATTTGCATGACTTCAGCGCACTGTTAACCTCAGAACCGATTCGTTTCAATGATAGGTTGATATCTATCAAGAGTTATGTCGAGGAATACCTGAACGAAATGGCATACAATCTGACGACTATAGCACTACACGACTGGAAAACATACGAATCGATGTTGAATTTGGCGAAAACCAAGTATGGCTTGGAGTTCGTGAGGTCTCAACTGCCGACCCAGACATTAGAACAGGGATTGGATGTGTTGGAGATCACCCGCAATATTCATGTATTTGTTTCGAGATATTTATATAATTTAAATAATCAGATGTTTATCGAGAAGTCATCGAATAATAAACATTTAAATGTATTGCTTATAAGACATGTGGCAAACTCTATACAAACCCACGGCTTTGGTATTATCAACACTACAGTGAACTTCACGTATCAGTTCCTACGCAAGAAATTCTATATATTCTCGCAATTCCTATATGAAGAGCACATAAAGTCGCGACTCATTAAGGATTTGAGATATTTTCGAGAATCAGAAGCCAATAAGTTTCCCTTTGAAAGGGCAGAGAAGTTATGCAAAGGAATTCGCAAATTAGGACTCACTGCTGATGGCATGTCATACTTGGACCAATTTAGACAATTGATTAGTCAAATCGGGAATGTCTTGGGATTCGTGCGGATGTTGAGGAGTGGAGCCCTTCACTGCAGTTCCAATTCCGTGAACTTTGTGCCAGATTTGGATGATTTGACTGAAGTGTCATTCGAGACGATGACAAGCGATGAGAGTCTGAGCGCCGACACAGTGACCGCCGGCCAGAACTTGGACTCAATTCTGTCCACTTTGAACCGAAACTTCACAGAATCGACCGATTATTTCAAACTATTGGTCGACGTGTTTGCGCAGACATTTCGGGACTCCAAGAACTATCACCTGAAGAACTTTTATGCAATACTTCCGGCGACGACCTATAACTTTGTCGAGCACTTGATTATCAGCAAAGAGAAGATGACCCGCAAGAACAAAGTGGGCGCCGCCTTCACGGACGACGGCTTCGCTATGGGCGTCGCCTATATCCTCAAACTCCTCAATCAGTTCAATGATTTCGATTCACTTCATTGGTTTAGTTCTGTGTCCGAGAAAATCAAGACAGAGATCAATGAAGCCAACCGTCAGAGCGCTCTCAACGCCAACAGTGACGTCAAGTTAACACAAACCACGAGTTTAACGATCAAGAGATTAGAGAACCTCCAGAAGGAGTTCCACCTCTTGGAGTACAGTCTCACCAGTTCTCGCATTCTATTCAAAGCCACTCCAGAATCAGTCAATTAATTTGATTTTAGTATTAATTAATATATATTTTATTCTTTTAATAAACATTTATATAATTTTTAAGTAATAATATTTGAATAAACATACAGTATAAAAACATCAAAGCCACTCCAGAATCAGTCAATTAATTTGATTTTAGTATTAATTAATATATATTTTATTATTTTAATAAACATTTATATAATTTTTAAGTAATAATATTTGAATAAACATACAGTATAAAAACAGTTAACTTTCAGTAATACTATTTCATAATGTGATTGACCAGTTATTAAAATGATTAACAAATACTGATCAAACAGTTTAGTAACAATAAACAATTGAATTAAAGGTAAACAATAAGCTCTAAAATAATGCCAAATATAATAAATTGAGATTAAAGTTAAGAGAATAGTAGTAATAAATGCTCTGATTTTGCGATGATAAAAATTTGTAATACTATTTGTACCGGTAATAATATTACAACTTAGTACCGGTACAGTATTGATATAATAATTTCAGATCTAAAAACAAATCCAATACTGATTTCTGTATTTAAAAAAATATTTTCAATCAAAAACAAACCCAATTCCAGCAAAAAGTTTTAAAAACACTGAATTAAAGCGAATTTCTGGTCCAACTGTTAATCGATTTCCATTTGACGGAAGATCTCATTAGTCTGTTGAGTGACGCGAATAAAAGTCGTCCGAAGTGGCAGTTCTTTGAGTTTGGAGGCGCCGGTGTAGGTGCAGGCGGACCGCAGACCACCCAATATGTCCTGCAAAGTGCGCTCCACGTCCCCTCTATAGGTCACCTCCACTGTCTTGCCCTCGGAGG